CCTTGCTCAGTTGCTGAGACTGACTGGCTTTGAACTTGTAATCCTCCTACCTCAGCCTTCCAAGCCACTGGGATTACAGGCATGTGCCACCACACCCACCACTATTGACATTTTGAGCCAGATAATTCTGTGTTGTGGGTACTGTCCTGGGAAGTGTGAGACGTTTAGCAGCTGGCTTCTACCAACTATATTCCAGTGACATCTTACTTTAGTTGTGACAAACAAATGTCTTTGGACATTGTCAAATGTCCCCTAGAGAGTACTGTTACTGTCCCATTATTATTAGCTCTTTCCAGGTGCTAAATGGGATTTGGAAAACCAGGTGTGTTTTAGAAAACTTGGGCTGTGCACACGAGTGGTGACAGCACCGGATCTGGCCAGAGTGTGGATGAGCCTCGAGGCGCTGAGATGGAGGAGGGTCTTATCAGCTCCTTTGCCAGGCTCTGCCCATCATGCCCAGTCATGCCATTGCAGGTGGCCGTGGTGAAGTCAGAGGACGTGGAAGCAGGGTTAGCGTCTTCTGGTGGGCAGCCCTCCCCCGAAGACACCACTCCACAGGTGGTCACCCTCCATGTGGCAGAGCCTGGGGGCAGTGTGGCTGCTGAGAGCCAGCTAGGCACTCCTGATCTACAGCAGATCACCTTGGCACCTGGTCCATTTGGTGGAGCTGGCTACAGTGTCATCACAGCACCCACCATGGAGGAGGGGACATCGGCTCCTGGCACACCTTACAGGTGAGATGTGTCTTCTGCAAGGCCCATACCACCTTCTGAAGGTGTGCTGTGGCAGTCAGGTCTGGGCCCATCCCACTCACCCTAGGTAGTAGGAAGTCACAGGCTGCTGGAAGATTCTGTCCTTGGGTCAGGAGCTTCCATTCTTTGGCCACTTAGCTGTTCAAGGAACTTGATATCCGGATCTCATCTAGCTCGTTCCTGTGAGATCCATGTCTCCCTCCTTTACAAACGTCGAAGTAGGCCAAGGAGGTCAAGTAAGTGGACTAAGTCAACACGGGGGAGTAAGGCTGTGAAGCCTGGTCTCTCTGGTTTCTAATCCCAAGTGCCCTTCGTGTTCGATGGTCAAGGTGCTGCCCACATTTGAGGTCTAACCTGCACTTGGCTTCCCTTCAGTGAGTGAGTGTGAGCAGAGATGTTAACAGGCTTGGGGAACTCTGGCCACTGTGGGAGCCGGAGTTCTGCAGTGTCTGCAGCCCTGGGCAGGCTGCCTCTGCATCTTCACTGTGCTCTTGGCTGCAGGTCCTAGTTGGCCCTGCCTCCACAGGGACCAGGCTCATGGTGGCAGATCCACCCATTTGTTCCTGCCCAGCCCTCTCCTATCCCACTGGCCAGACTTGGGTCAGACTCCTGGGGCTCTTTGCCTGGCTGCCTCCTGCCCATCAAAGGGACAGAGCCGACCATTTTTTGAGCAGTACAGTTTATTGAGCACTTGATAACCATTTACAGAAGAGACAGCAGAGGCTCAGCTGGCACAGGGCAGAGCCCCAGGGTTCATCCGGTGATGTCCAGATCATCTGTAATGGCAGTTGTCTGAGGAAGGGGTTGATGCTGGCTGCCTGGGGGAGGGGCTTCCTGTGGCCCTCATCCTCACCCAGAACTCCATCTCACCATCCCCTTCTCTGTGCCCTCAGTGAAGAGCCCCCAGGGGAGGCAGCCCAGGCTGTGGTTGTAAGTGACACCCTCAAAGAAGCTGGCACCCACTATATCATGGCTGCTGATGGGACCCAGTTGCACCACATCGAGGTGAGTCTTGCAGTAGCTGGCCCCAATCTCCAGCCCCTCCCAGCCCTTCCCCGGCACCTCATATTGTGCTGTGATCTCTCCACAGTTGACTGCAGATGGCTCCATCTCCTTCCCCAGCTCAGATGCCCTGGCCTCTGGAGCCAAGTGGCCCCTTCTGCAGTGTGGGGGGTTGCCCAGAGATGATTCCGAGCCACCGTCTCCAGCCAAGACCCTCCGGGTAGGGGACTCCCAGCATTCTGCCTCCCCACCTCCTGCAGCCAGCAAAACCCTGGGCCTGGCAGTGCCCCCTTCCCCACCATCTGCAGCCACTGCCGCATCAAAAAAGTTTTCCTGCAAGATTTGTGCTGAGGCCTTCCCTGGCCGAGCTGAGATGGAGAGTCACAAACGGGCCCATGCTGGGCCTGGCACCTTCAAGTGCCCTGACTGCCCCTTCAGTGCCCGCCAGTGGCCCGAGGTCCGGGTAAGTGCTACCCCCACCATGCCTCTGCTGTCATTCATTTGGCCATGAGTTTGTGTCCTTTAGTTAAAGGCAACCCCTCAGCAAGGTCCCGCCTCTTAGGAAGCTCAGTCTGGTCAGAGGCCAGCCAGACTAAGTAAGGCCAGACAGCATTCCCAGTGTGAAGACAGCGTGAGGCAAGGGAGTGCCGCACAGTGCGAGTCAGTGGGGAGGATTGGGGAGTCCTGCTGAGGGGGACGCCACACAAGTGATGGTGGAGCTGGGTCTGCGTGGGCACAGGTGTAGAGGGTGACAGGGTGGGTGGGGAGCTTGAGCTGTGTTGGAGGCTGGCAGCGGGGTGCTGTGCAGGCACACAGGGCAGCTCCCAGGTGCATCTCTTGTTGAACTCTCCTCCAGTACTACTTCTCCAGACTGATCCCAGGGCACCTTACTACTGAGCTATTTCCCAGCCCTTTTTAGTTTTTGAGACATTGTCTCAGTCACATAAGGCCTAGGTTGCTGAGACTGGTCTCCATCCTCCTGCCTTGGCCTCCCAACTTGCTGGTGTGACAGGTGTAGACCAGGCCCAGCCATACCAACATTAGCCTAAGAATCCCCAGTTTCCAGATCTAGTCATGCACTGCATCCTAGCTCACTGAGGGGCTAGGACCTTGAACCCCGCCGAGGCCCAGCTAAGCAGGACTAAGCCCTGCAATGTCACAGATTCCCTCACGCTGCACCTGTCAGTCACATCTGTATAGAGCCAGGACAGGATTTTCCAAGTGACCTAACGGTGGTGCCTCTGGCCTCGCACTCCAGGGCTGCAGCCGCCCCGTCTTGGTTTGGTGTGTTCTTCTCCACCCAGCTCCTCACAGCCTACAGGGTTTGGGTTTCCCTCAGTCCAGTTCAGCTGGCTCCATGACCAGTTGCTTCCGAGGACCTAGGGGCTTGTTGCCATCTGTCCTAACCCAGTGGTGCCCCTGACTGTGCCTTCCGCAGGCCCACATGGCACAGCACTCAAGCTTGCGGCCCCACCAGTGCAGCCAGTGCAGCTTCGCCTCGAAGAACAAGAAGGACCTGAGGCGGCACATGCTGACCCACACCAATGAGAAGCCCTTCTCGTGCCATCTCTGCGGGCAGCGGTGAGGCCAGGTGCGGCTGGGCAGGGGCTGTTGGGCCCGTCTGGCGGAGCCACCCTGAGCCTCCTTCCTTCCTATGCAGTTTCAACCGTAACGGGCACCTCAAGTTCCACATCCAGCGGCTGCACAGTCCTGACGGGAGGAAGTCTGGCACCCCGACAGTCCGCACCCCAGCACGGACCCCCACCCAGACCATCATCCTGAATAGTGACGACGAGACACTGGCCACGCTGCATAGTGAGTGGCTCCTGGGGCCACAGGGTGGGCACCAGGAGGGTCCAGAGACTTGAGCCACTGTCTCAGAATGCATCTCTGGACCGGGATAGTCTCGAGACCCCCCCCAGAACCCCTTGGTGAGCACCTTCCTCTCTCTACCCAGCTGCCCTCCAGTCCAGTCACGGGGTCCTGGGCCCAGAGAGGCTACAGCAGGCCCTGGGCCAGGAACACATTATTGTGGCCCAGGAACAGACGGTGACCAATCAGGTAAGAGCCAGGGCCAAGGGCCATGCTGGCAGGTCATGGACAGGATGGGGGCAGACAGAGCTGAAGCTAGAGCTGGCTTGGTCTTGGCAGGAGGAAGCCACCTACATCCAAGAGATCACCACAGCCGATGGTCAGACGGTACAGCACCTGGTGACCTCGGACAACCAGGTAAGCTCCTACTCACCCCTCAGTCTTGACCTCTTGCTGTGCCTCCTCACCATGCTCGCCCCACCTTGGGGGAGAGCAGTACTTTCCATGCCACTGCTCCCATGGTCTTTGTGTGCAGCTGCCACAGGTGTCCCTGGTTCTCCTGCCTTCCCAGCCGAGCACCTGGTGAGTGAGGCCCTATTATCTGCTTCCTCCCCGCTCCTCTGTAGGTACAGTATATCATCTCTCAGGATGGTGTCCAGCACCTGCTGCCCCAGGAATATGTTGTGGTCCCTGATGGCCACCACATCCAGGTAAGGCCAGGCTGGTGTGAGGTGGGTTTGGGAGGAAGGCTGTACAGCCTCCTTCAGGGGGTCACGGTCGGCTTCCTCTCTCCAGGTACAGGAGGGCCAGATCACACACATCCAGTATGAACAAGGAGCCCCGTTCCTCCAGGAGTCCCAGGTGGGGCACTGCAGGACTGGACAGGCTGGGCCTGGAGAGCCTCTCCAGGACCACATCTCATCAGTTTCTCCCCCTCCAGATCCAGTATGTGCCCGTATCCCCAGGCCAGCAGCTGGTCACACAGGCTCAGCTTGAGGCTGCAGCCCACTCTGCCGTCACAGGTACAGGGCTGGAGTATGGGGGCTGGGGCCACACGCAGCTCTGGGGCCTTGGGCTCACCATGCTTTCCCCTCCCCTGGCAGCGGTGGCTGATGCTGCCATGGCCCAAGCCCAGGGCCTGTTTGGCACAGAGGAGGCAGTGCCCGAACACGTGCAACAGCTGCAGCATCAGGGCATCGAGTACGACGTCATCACCCTGGCCGATGACTGAGCCCAAGGGCCCAACGCAGATCATGGATATCGGGGCCAGCTCTCCTGGGGTGGGGGCATACACCTCCCTGTCCCACGTAGGTCTCCAGATACTGGGCAGCCAGCATCCTGTCACCCCCAGAAAGCCAGACCTGTGTTCAGGGGGTTGGGAGGCAGCCGTGGACCCCAGCCAGGACATGCTGGGTGCCCAGCCTGCAGGCAGGCTTTGGGAAAAGAAATTTTATTTTTGTTTGGATGGACCCACTGGTCCCTCAGTCTCAATAAAGGGACCAGAGTCCAGCCCTGGCCATCTTATTTTGTCCACTTGCTGCTAACAGTCTGAACCAGACAAGGACGAGGAAGCAGAAGGCAGGTGCCAGGAAGAGCCCACCACAGGTGGGAGAGTGAGGTGGAGGCTACCTGGCCCCGAAGCACAGCTGGCCCTGCCTCTGTAAGTACTATGGTCCCACCGCAGGGCAGACCCTCACTGCAGATGCCTCATCTCAGGAGAGGCCCAGCTGGAGGGAGCCTTGCGGAGCACCTCCAGCCTGCTTTCTGCCCTGGGGTCTCTGCTCAGAGGTCCTTAGAGAGTAGGCACCACACCCTGAGGTCTGAGGCAGCTCTGAGGCTGACTCGCTTCTAAGCTTTGACTATAATAAAACATGTAGCTGCCCACTCACAGGGTGGCGCCAGGGCCAGCAAGTGGCTTTTGGCCTGGGTACAAGGCATAGCTGTTGGTCATCTCCCCAGAAGGGTCTGGGCAGGCCCAACTATGGAGTTTGGAGCTAAACAGTGCAGGCTCTGGGTTCTTCCAACCTGTTATGTAAGGTGGACACCACCAGGGACCAGTTGTATCCCTTGATGGGGTGTAAAGGCCCAGGGGTCATGAGAAGGTGAGCCTGGGTATGAAAGGGAATTGGTCCCAGAAGTAGCTCCAGGTTCTCAGCCTTCTCTGTCCTCAAGACCCTCACAAGTTCGGGGGCGGGGTGTGTGTGTGTGTGTCTGTATTTCCTTTTACAAATGAAACAAGGCGCCAACAGGGGCAGCGTGAGGGGGGCATTGGGCCTATTTACAAGGGACTTGGAGTGAGTCTGAGGCAGGCAGTGGGGATGGGCAGGGAGGGGGAGCCCTGGCAGAGCCACAAGATTCCTATGTCATTGGCAGCCCAAGTCCTGCTGCCACCCCAGGGGCGGGCCCTGGAATCTGCTCAGCCTCCAGAGGCCCATGTCCCAGCAGTCCATACCAGCACCCCTGGGGCTCCTCCTCCCTGCAGGGTGTGTTAAGTGGGGTGAGGCTCGCGGCTAGGGCCTTGCTCGCGGCCTGAGTCCCGGTCCTTGGCCTCGGAGGAGGAGGAGGAGGAGGAGGAGGAGGAACTGGAGCCATGGTTGCGGCCTGACTGCCGATAGGCTGCGTTTAGCTCCTGCAGCCGCTCAGGCGTTGGCCCCCACTTGGCAAAGCCAGGGTCGTTCTGCAGGAACAGCACAGCCGTGTTGTGCAGGGCCTTGTAGTGCATCTCCTCCCTGTGGACAAGGTGGGCAGCTGCTCAGGGTGGGGCTTGCCTAGGCCAGATGAGCCTGGCCTGGCCAGCCATCCCTCCTGGCCCTGCTTTCCCCCGGGGCACCCACTTCTTGCAGATGTGCTGGGAGCCACTGCGGTACTCATGCTCAAAGGCGGGCAGGACCAGCTGGTGGCGTTTGAAGTGGCTCTGCTCCATGCGGGTGAGCGCTGGTGTGGGGGGTTCCCGCCACTCAGGGATAAACACAATGAAGGACAGGGGCTCTGGTGAGCTCTCCAGCAGTTTCTGTGGGAGGAAGAACAGGGTGGACATCAGAGGCTGCCCTCCAGGTGGCTGGCAATTCTGCCTCTCCCCCAGCAGGGTGACACACCCACCTCGAAGTGAGAGACCATGGCATCCATGAGCTCCTCGCAGAATGGAGGGTTGGCCTCAAAAGAACCGCTCAGCGGGGCAAAGTCCAAGCAAGGCCTAGGGCCAAAGGTGAACACTCAGTCCCATCGGACCTACCTGTCACCCCCACACCCCATAGGCAGGCCAGAGGCTAACACTTGCCCTTCGTGTATCTTGGGACAAGGCATGACCCTGTACACTGAATGGGTGAGAGGACAGAGGCTCAGGCATGTTGTGGTGCCATGTGCTCCACACTAGAGAAGCAGCTGTGCTGAGTTGCGGTTGCCACAGCACAGGGCATACCCAAGGCTCCCTGGCTACTGAGCTGTGGCCTCTTGCTCTTGTGGCCACTTCTTCCCCCTGAACACAGCTGTGTTCTTTCATCAGTGCTCATCCCACCCCGTGAATTTACCTGTGAGGGCTCTGAGGTGGACACTGCTCAGAGCTGCCCTCCATGTAGCTAATTCACCCAGAAGCCCCCAGACCAGATCAGGGCATTCACATGCCTGCCCACAGAGCCCGAAAAGCTGAGGCTATCAGAGTTAAGTTAAGCCACCTGTCCAGGGTCTCACAGCTGGTAAGTGATGAAGGCAAGGACTGCCTCCAAGGCTGCTTGACTCCAAAGCCCTAAGACATTAGGAAGCAGCGGGCCAAGGTGGGCCCCATGCTCTGGCGGCCTGCTTCCTAGGCATGGGCAGAAGGGGCCCAACCACCCCTGGCTCTCACCCGCGGGAGCCAAAGTAGCCATCTGTGTCAGGAAAGGCGGAACAGTACTGGCGGAAGTAGCAGTTGAGGGGTGAGGCAAAGCACTCGAAGCTGACGCCGAACAGTCGGTGAAGAGCCTCAAAGACGTGTACGGGCAGTGATCCCTGCAGGCCAGTCCCCTCGTAGAGGCCCACACCAAACATCATCTGTAGAGTGGCCTCAGTGAGTGTTGGGCTCAGCCTCCCTCCTCCCCCAAGAGGAGCCTTCCCGCTGGGACCCCAAGCCTGTACCTGGTACCGTCGGAGAAGACACCAGACCCTGGGCAGGAACCTCTCGAAGGCGGAGTCGTCAATGCAGCTATAGCGGTAAAGGAGCCACTGCAAGACCAAGGCGCTGACTTCAGCGGTGGCCCATACCCTGGTCACTAGCCGCCTCCTGAGGACTTGGTTAAGATCCCAGGCCCCAACTCATGCCATCAGCTAGGGCCCTTCTCCCTCGGCTCTTACCAGCTTGCTGAAGTAGTTGCGGCTGACCTTGACCATCTCTCCCTTATACCGGATGCAGACCACATTGTTCTCCATGTGCATCTCCACACTGGGCATGGGGGGTGCGGACACAGCCAGCCTCACTGGGTAGCAGTACACCAGGCGGGGCTCCACCTCGGAGGCCTCCGCCTCCTCTGTGGGCAGGGAGAGCAGTGAGGGGCTGTCCTTCCCCCATGGCCTCTGCATCTACTATGTGACCAAGCGCTTTACACCGAGGGAGAGAAGTTTCAATCCATGGATCAATTAATTGTGGCTCAGTTTCAGTAACAGGGAACCAAAAACATTTTTAAAAGCTACCAGTTGGCAGAGGAATAAACCAGTGGCCTGTGTCCATGTGCTGTGGATATAGCTACTGATGCAGACCCCACTCGGCATGCCTTGGGGCCTAGTGTGCAAGTAGGCTTGGGCCGAAGATCTTGCTGCTGGGCACGGGTTTGAGAATCACTCTGCCTTCAACATAATAGTTATACTACCTTATTTGGGGACCCCTGGGGTCCAGGTGGCTTATTTGGGCTGCATGTGAGTATTCAAGATCCTATGGTCAGGTAATATGCCTCAGTCTGGGAAAAGTGAGGCCTGCAGAGAGTGGATAGAAATCCAGTCCACCTCACTGCTTACTGGCCTTTCTCATCATATCTCCGCATTTCCCCAAGGAGTGCTGAGAGCTCCTAGCCAAAGGGCACAGTAGGCCCTCCCCAAACACTGTGGGGAGAAATGGACTCCCCCAAGCCTGTCCTTGGCCTTGAGGCTCAGCCTTATTTGTTCCTTCAGTCAGGGTGTGGGACAGAGTTGGTGGCATCACAGAGGCTCCCCACTACTTCGCCCCTACCTGAGATGTTATTTTCCTTGAGGATGGCAAGATGCTTCTCTCGGATCCGCTTGACATACTCCAGGGAGATGTGATAGATCTTACTGCAGATGCCTTCCACGGAGTCCTTGGCTGCTGCTGAGACATGGGGGCCACACTGCCTCCGCAGGTGTTCCAGGCGGTCCTGGAGAAAACTCCTGATCAAGACACTTGTGGGGGCCAAAGGGCCTCAGTGGGGCTGGCAAGTAACTGCAGGGCTCTTGAATTCCAGCAGTCCTTGCTTTGAAACTGGCTTCACTACTTATTAGCTGTGTCCCTTAGACAAATCCCTCAGGTTCTCTGAATATTACTCCTCAATGGTCAAAGGAACACAAAATACCTAACAGGGCAGTTTGAACATTAAATGTAACCAGGCCCCTGGGATACAACAAGTGTCCAACAAATGCCAGCAGTTTCTGTTGGGTTCCCCATGATGACTACAAGGGGAACAGACCAGCCAGGCAGTGGTCCCAGCTCACAGCATCTGTGCTCCATCTATCAGGGCACAGTGATTACAAAACAAGGAGCTTGGTTGGTGTGGATTTAGAAGTTGAGCTTTGAGCTACTTGCAAGGATGACTGCAGGCATTTGTAATTTTGCTGAATCACGCCTGTGAAACTGCAGAGTGAAAATGAGTCACTCCAGCTAGTGAGTACACCTACCTTTGTCACTCTCTACGTGTCAAGTACACAGTTACTATCGTGAAGTGCGAAACCTTGTCTCTTGTGAAAAATGGTCCTGAAAAGAAAGCCCATTGCTAGTGCTGGTGGAGAGGCTTAAGAAGTGAAAGGTTTTGGCCAGAAAACAGAATGGTTCTGGACACATTAAGAGCAGGGAGTTGAATCTGATGGTAGCTTTTAACTGTAATATAAACACACACAAGGAAAAGCAGTTTGTCAATCTGTTTCCAAAAATCTACTTGGGAGATGCTGAACATTCATTAAGTTGGAAAGGCAGCCATATGTGTGTGGCCAAGCCTAAGGTTCTGTTAAGAATGTTAAGGGAGCTGGGCTTGGTGGCGCACGCCTGTAATCCCAGCAGCTCGGGAGCCTGAGGCAGGAGGACTGCAAATTCAGATCCAGCCTCAGCAATTGAGCGAGGCCCTAAGCAACTTAGTGAGACCCTGTCTCAAAATAAAAAGTAAAAAGGGCAGGGAGTGTGGCTCACTGGTTAAGGCCCCTGGGTTCACTCCCCAGTACCAAAAAAAAAGAAGGGAAGGGATGAGGGATGTCCTTTGGGGAGAAAGCCAGGAGCCTAGACAGACGCCTCCACAGTCGTGAGTCTGGGGACTGGTAATGTCAAGGTCTGCGGTACTGCACGGGACAGGCTGCCACAGGAGCCCTGCCAGCCTGGGTAGGCAGAGTGAGTTTCCTGGAGGGAAGTGGCCAGAGAGCCTTCCCAGTGGCCTCACCCTGGGGTCCACTCACCATGTAGTCCTCCTTGGAGGCCGAGTGGTCTTTCCGAAGCCAGCTAAAAGTATCTTCCACGTTCCACTTGACCACCTTCCTGCTGTCAGGGGATGCGCTCCTGCCAGTCAAGGATGAGAGAAAGCAGGCTCAGCTGGGTGTAGGGCCCAGCCATTCGGGTATCTGCGCCACCCTCCCCTCCCAATTCCACGTTGCTGGTGTCCAGGGCATCAGCCCCCAGGCTCACTTCCCAGCCCTTGTCTGCCTGTGTGAGCACAGGCCAACTGGCCTGAGACCTCCACTCTGCCCACAGACCCATCCTGTGTGGTGCAGTGACGGCCTCACCTGGACTCAATGAGCCGCCTGGCAGCCTCTGCGTATTTAAAGAGCAGGCGCTTGGCTTCCTCCCGGAACTTGATTCGGGATAACCTGGGTTAGAGGGGGGCAGAATTAGAGCCCTTCTACATGACTGGGCAGCACTGAGCGGTGCAGCTGCAGAGATGTACCTGATGGGAATGTCATTCATGATTTCACGAAACATGGAAGGTGACACAACTGGTTCACAGTTGCTCGGCAACAGGGGGTCAGATCCTTTGTCCACCACCTTGCGCTCCAGCATCCAGCGGTTGAAAGACTCCCGTGGAGGCTCAATACCTGAGGGACAGAGAGCTGCTGAGGCTCTGGATTTAGTCAACAGGTTCCACTTTGGGGTGGGCACACAAGAGGCACCACACTGGTCAGTAAACAAGACCTGGGCCCTGTTACTTCAGAAGTTTATTTTCTAGTTTTCATTTTCCAAAATATATTCTGAGAATCGCTAGTTTATGGTTATGTCAATAAGTGTCACATAGGGTTAAAGGGAAGAGAAGGACCTACATTTCAGCAAAGTCAAGCAGGTTTATTTATGTAAAAGTTAAAAACTGCAGTTCACTAATAGGACACTTGGTCATTTCACTCACTGGTTTTGACACTTGTGAGATACAGGTATTCTTTTTATGTTCTTTTTCAGGTATGTGAAGAGTTGACAGTGCCTGGCAAACAGAAAGCTCCAGCCACCCTGTAGGTAAGCACTGCTTCTACTCCCTCCTTACAAGTAAGGGAACCACATGTGGAGTGTTGAGAGCTGAGCTTAGAATCAGAAGTAGTGGAACCAGGAGCCCAACAGGTCTGTCTGCTCCACAGCGCACGCTCTGACCATCAAGCTCCCCGCACCATCCCTAAGACCAGATGGCAAAGCCCTGGCTCTTGCTAAGAGTGACTGGAAACCAGGGGGCTGGGGCCCAAGGATTACCCTCTCGCTGCTGGCACAGCTCCCGATAGTGCTGCCGCAGCTTCAGGATGAGCTGGGAGCGGAACTGCTCCACTTCAGGGTGCGGTGGCAGCACCTCAGAAGGCCCTCGGTGCTTGATGACAGCGTTGGTCTGGATGTCCAGGTCCCAGTACACCCTTGGGGCACACACAGAGGCAATGAAGATGCTCTGCCTGCTGCCACCATATCCCCCAAAGTCCCGGCAAGCTGACCGTTAGCAATGGGCACCCCCAAGCCAATTAGCAGGGACTCACTCAGTGGGTCGAAGGAGAGCTGCTTGCTGTTTATCTTCAGGGGATGCACCCCAAATCTTCAGCGTTGGAGTTCCTGGGACACTGGGGGAGCTGGGCACTGACTGGCCTGTGGGTGTCACAGGAATTTCAATCTACAGCAAAAGAGAGACAAAGGGACTGGATCAGAAGACTTAGCAACCAGGCTCCAACACTGCGTATCTGGTGAGCTGTGTCCTGGGCCCCCCTCCTGACCAGCCTGCCTAAGCCCAACTCTTGCAGGGAGCCTGTTGGCTGCCTGCCTGAGTTGGTCACTTACCAGCCAGGTCCTGAGAGCCCCGGACACTCACCTTGGGCTTCTTCACACCATTGCCGCTTGGCTGCTCTTCCGAGAGCTGCCGCTTTCTGGGCTTGTTCTCAGGCGGGGGGGTTTCCACCAAGCTTGAATCTTGGGGCAGTGGGGTCGCATTCAGCCCCAAAGGGTCCGACTGGTGGAGGGAGACCAGCAGAGTTGCAACCAGGGCCAGGTGCTTCGGAGCCCTAGTACTTCGGACTCTCATGCCCTCCCGCCCTGCTCTACTCAGCGGAGAACACGGAGGCTGGGATGCTGGCGGAGAACACCGGGCTCTGCTCCGGCCTGCTACCCGGAACTGTGTGGCCTTGGGTGAGCTACTTCCCTTCCTAATTTCCTCACCTTCCAAATGGCCACACAGAGCCCCACCTCACACTGGAGATTACTACGTGAATCAGCGAGTCCAACATACAGCATGAGATCGGTGCTTGGTACATTATTTTATTTTTCTTAAGAATGAAAGGAATAAAAGAGACTCAGAAATGTTCATATTCAAAAGATCAAGACCCTGTGAGTGGACCTCCTTTGATGACACCAAAAGTATGTGTGGTATGTGAGCATGTGGTCCTGAAATCACAGCAAAGTGAGTTCCTGCTCTGCCTACTGCTAGCTGTGAGGCATCAGGCCATTTGGTCCCTCTGAACCTCAGCTTCTTCATCTATAAAATGGAGATGCCAGGTGGCTTGCTTGTATCTAATAAAAGCTGCTCCAGCTGAGGAACCCTAAGCCCATATTCCCCCCAGACAGCCTCTCCCTGCCCTTCCTCAGCACTCTGACATTCAAGTTCTTAGAACTGAATTTATAAAATCCAGTAAACTGGATTTATCTCCTCATTACTCTCCTCTTACACTCTCACTTAGTTAACTTCACCTTAAATGCTGATTCTCAGAGCAGTGCTTCCTGTACCTTCCCCTTCCCCAGACCAAGTCAGGATCCCTGCTGTCTGGTTTTTTTCCTTTGGGTGGTGCTGGGGATCACACCCAGGGCCTTGCACATGCTAGGCAAACACCCCTAACCCGCCCTGCTGTATTCTTCACACCATACTTCACACACATCTGCACCTGTAATCCTATGGCCCCACTCTAGTGAACTGTGGGGAGACGGCATGTCTATCTTTCTCACACCTGTCTCCCTGGCACAGCGCCCAACAGGTAGCCGAACTTCACTGTGCTACTCTATGATAATCATCTGTTTGTCTGTCTGCCCTATTTGAATGTAGGCTCCAGGAGGGCAGGGACTGTATTTGTCTTAACACTGTGTCTGCTGGTGTCAGCACAGGGCTGGGCACTAAGAGATGTTCAGAGTACGCTTGGGGAAGACGACCCATGTGCCAGAGGCTGGTGAGACCCCTGGGCTAGGCTGGCACTCACAATCACATCATGCTGGCCCAGCACGGGCATCTCCCACAAGGACTGGTTGGTGAATCGGTTGAAGTAGTAGGGACGGTTCTCCCTCCGGCTCCAGCACTTCTCCCAGCCCGCATGCACCAACTCCTCTGCAAACAAGCGCAGAACCCACCAAGGTCATGGCTGCCCTTGGAGGACCCTTTCTACCCCACTGCCCACCACTGCCCCTGCCAGTACCTGGGAGGTCCTGTACCAGGCGGACTGGCTTTGGAGAGCAGGGCTGGCTCTGGGTGGAGGTGCCTGGGGAGTGACTCAGCAGAGATGCTTCTTCCCAGGGGCTGCCGTGATTCTCATTGGCCATCTCAGCACCCACACGGGACCTGCCACACAGAGGACCAAAGAGTCAGCTCCATCTCGCCCTCCAATTACAACCAAGTGCCCCGGTGACCACCGGCAGATGCGCTGAAATCTAACCCAGTCCTGCTCTGGAAGGCCAGTATGGTACTTCAGAAGGAGCCTTGGGACCTAGGCTGCAGTTCCCTCAACTATAAATTGGGTGCCCTTCTGCTGTTCCCCTGCCCAAAACAACCTTCCCCTCATTCTCTGCCTGGCTTGCCCCTAGGCTCACTTCCTCCAACAAACCTTCCTCGACTGCTCCCTCCCAGACTAGATGGTCAGGGCCCTCCCCAGCGCCATGAACACCAGTGCTGAGTACTCAGATGGTTTGGTGTAAACTGGATTTATCTCCTCATTATAGATTTTTAACCCTTCCAGGAACAGGAATTCATGCCAATGTATCTCTCTCCAGAGCTCAACATAGTACCTGGACCCAAAAGGAGCTCTATTAATTCTGTAAACATTTACAAATCAAGACTGGCAAATAAGACAGAACAGTGTCTGCCCTTGAGAAGCTATTTCTACAAGAAAGAATGGGAGCTCCTACTCTTGAGAGGATTTTTACCGCTCACATCCAGTAGAAGATATATAAGTAAACCAAAGCACAGCTGGGGAAGGAGCGTGGGATCTAATTGGTCACTCGTTTTACGCTACAGGGCAGGAAGCAATCTGTTGCTAACAGAACCAGTGCAACCAAAAAAGACTACCTAATTCAATTCTTCAGAATCCCCAAGTGAAAACTAGCATTAAGAACTAGCAAGGAGGCCAGGTCCTTCAATTTGTATTCCCTACCAGCCCCACCCAAAGTACACCCAGCACAAGCTTTGATGACCAAATCGGTTTCTGGCCAGGGATTGTTATATCCCTAGGGGGCCAACCAAGATCAAATTGTTGATGCTGGAGTTGTTTTCAATATGTCACAATTGCCCACAATAAGACCACAAAAGCAGATTTAAACATTCATTATCTTTGCATGCTGAAATTTTACCAACTCATTGTGGCCACACTGATTAGCTCATGCTGATCAGGAGCTCTGGTTGGCTGTTGACGACATCATAGCAATCACTGGGACACTGATTTTATTGTACACTTAGTCATAGTCATCTTTGTTAATTTGGAAAGGGAAAAGTCAATGATTACTTCATCAGTACAGTTTGGCAGATAAAATGCAGGGGCACAGGATATATATACAACGAAAGAGTGCCTTGACAACAAAAGGGTTTGGAACTGTTCCTTGGGGACTGAGCCCATAGGTTCCAAGGCTGAATGAGGTCCCCTTTCTCTCACCCTCTGGGGTCTGCAATGCTAGCATGAGAGGGTTTTCTTCTGCAGCTGGACTGACCCCCACGTCACAAGGTCCCACAGAGATTGGGGAAGGCCTGCAGCAGAGGGAGGCTCAGCACAGGTGGGTGAACTGGTCAGCAGTGGAGTGGACAGGGGCTCAAGGAACTCCTTGTATCAGCAACTGGAGAGCAAACAAAAAAAGACAGTCACTGACCTGTAAAATGTTGCAGGGAGAGGACAATAGGGACAAGGACAAAGAGCAAGTTGGGAGACTAAGACAGGGCAGGCAGTAGACAAACCCAGCCTGGAATTTTTAACACATACACATTTTTTGAGATGGGGACTCTAAGTTGCCCAGGCTGGCCTCAGGGAATCCGGAAACTCAGGAGATGAAAATGGTATTTCTCCAGTCTTCCAACCAATAGGTTTACTGAGTAGGTTTTTGGCCTGCATGGTTGCACCAGGACCATGTTCAAGAGGACCCAAAGCTTGGTTGGGCAAGGGCTCTACCAGCCCAGAATTTTTCAAATTTATATAACCAGATGTGGTGGTGCACGCCTGTCATCCTAGCAACTCCGGAGGCTAAGGCAGGAGGACCACAAATTCCAGGTAGCCTGGGCAACTTAGCCAGACCCTGTCTCAAAATAAAAAGGGTTGTGACTGTACCTCCGTGGTAAAGTGTCCCAATCCCCAGTACTGCCCAAGGGGGGTGGGGGCATGAAGAGGAAGAGAAAAAAATATCATGTATCTATATGTATATATACACACGTTTTTCTTTGAAGACAGCATATTGCTCTGTTGCCCATGCTGGTCTTGAATTCCTTGCCTCAAGCCATCCTCCTGCCTCAGCCTCCCCTGTGGCTGGGAGTACAGGCCACACCATTGGTCCAGCTTTTAATAATTTTTAAACAAAGGGCCCATGATTTCATTTTGCACACTGGGACCCATCAAATAAACTATCCTTAGCCCAAAGAAAAAAACGTATACACATACATATCACAGATCTGAGGGCACCAGGCCAAGCCACCCACACTGAATGAAAGACACACTTCTCTGAATGTCTTTAAAAAATTTAAAACGTAAACACATTATATAACACATCTCATTCATCTTTATTGAAAAATATTTTTCCCAAGAAACGTCCTGTCATACAGATGCACCAGGAAGATGCACTTTTTAGATGAGATGGCACAGTTTAGCTTGAGGCCAAATGAGGACACTGCAGTATTTTCAAAACTGTGCATCAGAATCATTTGGGGCTTTTAAAAGAATGTACCTCAGATTCCTCTATCTCACTCCACATCTTAAGAGCCAGAAACGGCGAGAGGAGGTTCAAGAGAATTTATAATTTTTACACACATTCCGGTAGAACTGGGACTCTGGATGACTTTATGTCACTGGAAATCTTTACCAATTTAAATTCTCTAAAGAGGGGGGGGGGGTGCAGCTTGGTGCAGAGCGCTTACTTGACATACTTGAGTCCTTGGGTTCGCAAAATTAATAATTTTAAGAATTAATAAATTCGCTGAGTTTGGGGTGCAACAAGTCTGTGGCCTTACTGCTGATACAAGTACCAGCTTTAGGGTCGGACACAGTTCCAGGCCCTGCTGCCGCTTCCCGGCTTCTACACTGGCACCGCTCAACCTCTCTGCGCAGAGCCTAACCCCTCGTGAGAAGGGGTTCCGCACGAGAAGCTGTCCTTGTCAACGTAATGTACTCATTCCGCAGGTGGCCTCCCGACCCTCAGCGTACCGCAGTTCAAGAAGCGCAGCGGAGCCTAAGGACAAACAACTGTATCTGCGCAACCCGAGGAACCCACTAGAAGGAAGAGTCCGATTCCGGGATTGGAGGAAGACGAGGCGGGAGCATCTCAGTAGCGTACCAATCAGAACTTTCCGGCCCAGACAAGAGGAGCCACAGGACTTGCAAAGTACGCAGGCGCGAGGGCGCGCGAAGGAGGGGCAGGACGAGGCCCAGCGCGCGTGCACCTGCCCTTCTCCCAACCCCAGCGGGGGCGGGTTGTTTGGCGCGCGCGCGCCGGCCCATCTCCCGGGCTCCGCCCCCCGCCCCGCCGCGCGCTCCCGCCCCCGGGCTGAGGCGACTCAGAGTCGGAGCCCGACACAAAGGCGGTGGCGGCGGCAGCAGCGGAGGGGCCCTGGAGGCCGCTCCGCCCGCGCTCTCCGGGCCCACCTTCCTCACTCCGACCACCGGCCCGGCTGCCCACCCGCGGGTCTAAGATGGCGGCGGCGAAAGAGACCAGGCCAGCGGCAGCCCTGAGCGGAAAGCGCCGGAAAGGCCACCGCTGCCCGGCTTCGGATTCCCGGACCCTGGCTCGGCTCGCGGCGAGACCATGGCTTCCTGGGGTTCTTACCTGCCCGGAGCGGACTTGAAGAGATGCGGCTACACGTTCTGCTCGACCTCCCGTTTTGCCGCCTCCGCCTCGCCCTCCCCAGCGCCGCTGCCGCCATCTTGTGTCCCGGGCCGGGACTCCGCGCTGCGCATGCGCCGGTACCGCCTCTGAGGGACCGCGCCACGACTGTGCCGCCATCTTGAGTGTGGCCGGGCGGTCTGGCTCCCTAGAACTTGCTGGTTTCTGACCCCCTCCCCTTCCTCCCTTCCTTCTCTGCTGTCCCAAGCGTTTTTGAGGAGAGGAAAAAGCTTTGCTCCCCCCGGGTTGTGAACAGAGCGAGAAATGAATTCACCAACGTCCTTGCCTCAGTTTCCCCCGAGAGTACACCTGCAGGGTCCAGAGGACCCAGTTGGGCGCACCAGGGGACTCGGGGCCGATTTGGAATCTTCTGGGGGCCCGGGCTCAGACGCCGACCCGGGGGGTGGAGTCCTGGTGACGTAGGCTTAACGTAGTGGGCACCTGGGTCCTAGCTTCCGCGGGTCTGTGCTGCCTCAAGCCAGCCTCTTGCCCTCTCTGGACCAGCGTCGCGTAGGGTTCCAGAGTGTGTTCCATCCCTGCCCCCATGTCCAGGCTGTGTGCGAGTGACCCTCCCGTTAGCGCCTGCACGAGTTGTAAGTGCTCGGAGTAGAAGACACTTAGCGTGGGGCGGTGGAAGAGTGCTTGGGGGCGCTGAGAATGAAGGCGGCTTTGGGAGAGTTAGGAAATTGAATACTAAACGTATCGGTGGCCATTAGAGCTCGTGGGCCACGCATGAGCGAGGCCCTGGGTACTGTCCCCAGCGCCGCAGAAACCCGATCGCAAGCCTCGCTGAGGCCTCAGAGCCAGCGAGAGATTGGCAGCTGTTGGGCGCCCCCTGCCAGCCTTCGGTGGGCGCTGGCGAGCTGCCTGGGATAGGCACCCTTCCGTCTGGCCTGCCGTCTGAGCCCACTGCCCGCAGCTTGGGAGGCAGGTTTGGCCCCTGCCGTTAGACTAGTGCTTGTGTGGAGCCGAGGGAACCGGAGCGCAGGCGTGATGCCCAGACGCTGCTGCCTGCAGATTGGGGCGGCGCGGGCAGTCAAAAAAAAACCGCGAAGAACCAGGCATCTCGGCAGTCTGGGTTCAGATTCAAGATACATGACCTGAAGAATTTAACCTCTTTCGACTTTTCGCTTCCTCAATACAACATGATGAACTCACCCACCTCCTTAGGGGTTGGAGAGGGTCACCTGAGGTGATGCAGCTGATGTACTCAGCACAGCACCTTACACTTAGTGCTTAATAAATGTTAGCTCCATGTAGATTCGAGCCCTCCAGAAACAAGAACAAGCCAGCTTCATCAGCGCCGCAGTGCAGCAGTCCTGTCCTCTCACCTTTTGATGGAAGACTAGGAAGCCAGACAGCTGGGCTCTATCTCACACCCTGCCTCGGAGGACCAAATGGCACGCCTTGCCTGAGACATGGAGTTACAGTCACTCTAAAGAGTGCCTAAATATACAAGCTCACCAGTAGTTCATTTTTACACTAAAGTGTAAGAACCATGTAGTGATTGTTATCTGTTCTCATTAATACTGATTGGTAACCAAGGCACCAAACTTCCCGAGTGCCTGTTCCAGTTTTACCAGGAGTTCTGAGTAGGAATGACAGCGTAGACTCTGCCCATGAAGAAACTGAGGCTAGGGCAGGTCAGGGATGAACAACCATGAAGTAACAGGACTGTAGTATTCTCAGAAGCAGAACCTTAACCCTCCCTGGCTTGCCTCTCTGTGGGGAATGGAGTCCCAACTCCTGGGAGGTGACTCATCTGACTTCACCAGCTGCCATGGACTTACCACTTCAGTGTCTTCCGGGTTACTTCTAACCAGAGTGTTCAGCACTGCTCTTCATATTTCTGGGGTTTTGTGGTCCTGGGGCTTGAACCCAGGACCCTGTCCATGCTGCCAGGCACTCTACCAGGACCCTGTCCTTGCTCTTCACCTTAATCTGCCTCCCCTTCTGATGTATTTCCTATCTCCTCTATTCATTTTTTTTAAAGATAGAATTTTTTTAATATTTATTTTTTAGTTTTCATCAGACACAACATCTTTGTATATGGTGCTGAGGATCGAACCCTGGCTGCACGCATGCCAGGCGATCGCGCTACCGCTTGAGCCACATCCCCAGCCCCCCTCTATTCATTTTTCACAGTCAAAATCAGCCTTCTCCCTCCATCTTCTTTTCCACTACTTTAGAGGGAGCCTCTGCCAGGAACGGTGGAGCATGCATGTAATCCCAGGGGTCTGGAGGCTGAGGCCAGGAGGATCCCGAGTTCAGAGTCAGCCTCAGCAAAAGCAAGGCTCTAAGCCACTCAGTGAAACCTTGTCTCTAAATAAAATACAAAATAGGGCTGGGGATGTGGCTTAGTGGTCAAGTGCCCTTGAGTTCAATTCCCCACCCCCAAGAAGAGGGAGCCTCATTCCTTTTTAAACCTTTTATTAAGAATAGCACATGTATCAGTTGGTAGAGTGCTTGCGTCACAAGTACAAGGCCCTGGGTTCAATCCCCAGCACTGCCAAAAAAAAAAAATAGCACACATGGGGGGGCTGGGGTTGTGCTCAGTGGTAGAGCACTCCTAGCACGTGCAAGGCCCTGGGTTCTACGATCCTCAGCATCACATAAAAATGAAATAAAGGTATTTTGTCCAACTACAACTAAAAAAAAATTTTAAAAAAATAACACATAATCTGGGGGTTGTAGCTCAGTGGTAGAGCACTCGACTGGCATGTGTGAGGCACTGGGTTTGATCCTCAGCACCACATAAAAATAAATGTACTGTGTCCATCTCTACTAAAGAATTAAAAAAGAATAGCACACATGGGCTGGGGTCGTGGTTCAATGGTAGAGTGCTCGCCTGGCATGCATGAGACACTGGGTTTGATGCTCAGCACCACATTAAAAAAATATTGTGGCCCCCTAAAACTAAAAAATAAATATTAAATAAAAAAAGCACACACGAGCTAGGCATGCTTGCATGCCTATAGTCCAGGGAGGCTGAGGCAAGAGGATAACTTGAGCACACCAGATTCAAGACCAGCCTGGGCAGCATGATGAGACCCCGTCTCAAAAAAAAAAAGTGTGAAGCTTAATAATGTATCTTCCCCCACCCCTCCATACTGGGGATAGAACCTAGGAGGCGTTTACCCACTCAACTCCATCTCCAGCCCTTTTTTTGTATTTTGTTTAGAAACAGGGTCTCACTGAGTTGTCTAGGGCCTTGCTAAATTGCTGAGATTGGCTTCGAACTTGTGATCCTCCTGCCTCAGCCTCCTGAGCCGCAGGGATTACAGGTGTGCACCATCACACCTGGCCTGACTGCTTTTGTGGCGGTTATCCCTTGCTTTAGCAATTGTACCATCTGAGCATTTGTTCCTAAAAACTAGAGCTTTACCCCTTCCTTAAATTTTATATAAATGAAATCACAGAGTGTTACTTTGTGGCTTACTTCTTCTCATGAGCAGTGCACTTGCAGTACTCATCTGTTGTCACCGGGAGTCACAGTGAGTTCCTTTCCATTGCTGTGTTTTGTCTTCCACTGTACATTTATCTATTTGATTGTTAAGGGAAATTTGAAGCCTCGCACCTCCCATACCTCTTGGTTTGGGAGGTCTGCTGGTCCGCTGGTCTTCCAGCAGTGCCCCTCTTTTAGTCTATTACAATCTTCAGCCACAGGGATCTGTCTAGTCATATTGCAAACCTGACATAGTTGCCTTGTGCTTAAAGCCCTTGAGTGTTTCTTCAGTGCAGGACAAAATCCCAAACCCTTAGCTTGGCTGGCAAGGCCTGTAATTATAAAGAGCTACCATAGCAGAGCATTTACTACATTCATTACATTCACAGTTGAGACCTTTAAATTATCTCTTCTTGATCTGGTCCCAGCCATCTTGAACTGCTTGCAATTTTCCTCAATGTGCCAGGTTCTCTCTTGACCCTGGACCGTGGCATATGCTGTGTGCTCTCACTCTTCCCTCAGGCTTCAAGTCAGCCCTTAGATG